CACTGGGGATGCCACGGGGATGAATTGGGGTTTGTGGCAAAAGCAACCAATGGAAGTGGTAGGTGTAGGGCTTGGAGCTCAATTATGGGAAGAAGCAGAATCTTGCTATACAGTTTTAGAGCAACGGCTATTGGCCATACATAGACCATTGCAACAAGTGAAGACCATCACCAGAAAGCAGACCGTCACAGTAAAAACTGCCTACCTCATTCAAGAGTGGGTAAAAGGCCTTCTAGCTAAGCCTACCTCCAGGGTAACACAGTCACACCTATCTATAATAAAGGGGTGCCCTGTCAAGCCTTTAAGTCGTTTAAGTCAGGCACTGCAGGAGGTGCTTGGACTCATCCACTTTTAAAAAGTAGAGGGGACTGGCATAGCAATGGAACCACCTACCAGGCCAACCACTGTGTCTGAAGGGACCTGCTGAAACCCTCTAGGGCCCAGTACACTGATGGGTCTAACAAAGGCACCAACACCAGTAGTCTACAGTTGTGATGCAAATGGAGACTGACACCATATGGATAAAATGGGCATCAAAACAAAACATAGACCAGAGGTCCACTTACCATATAATTCAACAGTGCAGGCCTCACTACAAAAAGAATGGCTTGTTAAAAACCCAATTACATGCACTGTCCCAATTCCATGCATTGTTTGTAACCCAATTACATACTTAAATCCCTGGACTAAGAATCTCCCTGAAGTCATACGAAGGTTAGATGAGTCACCCACTACCATACATGGCATCATTTCCTGTGACTGGTTGGCATGACCTGTGAAACAGGCCCCATAAACTCTCAGGGTTAGCTCTGAGTCACTGAGTCATGCTCCTGAAGCAGGTGGTCAGACCATGCTCCTGAGAGCACCAATGGATCTGCTAAGCATAGATGGCTATGTAGACCTGAAGTTGAGCTGGACAGTGCCTCCAAACTGGATCAGCTTTATGGCATTGGAGGGTGCCATGAAGACTGCTGGAGGGGAGGTGGTCACAGCTGTGCTCCTTGATGGGTGTCTGAGAGCCTTATGATACCAACACGCAGCAGCACCAATACCTGCTGGAGCGACCACAGGGCAGGCAGTATGGGCAAGGCTGGAAACTTACTTATTGGCTAGTATGCCTGCTCCTAAAAGGGAAGTCATGTGTGGTACTGTAAGCCAAGCCTGAAGCCCATGGTGGCCTCTCTAATAAGGCCCATGAAAAAAATATAGTGATAATGTTACAAGAAATGGATGCACCCATAAGGGTCCTTATCAAACACCTGTGTTCACATCCATTGGCTGTTCCTACTAACCGTGACAGCTGATAATGCCTTCCTGGACTGGGCTGACTATAACAGCAGCCAGCAACCAGTCTGATTGTTGCATATATGGATACCTCCCTGCTGTCAAATAATAATAATACGCCTTGAAATACTCTGCCTTTCTCCCAGTGGAACTAGAGTGACTGATTCAACAGAACCAGTAATGCACCTTGGGCTCACTAGGGATTGTGTCCATCTGGAGGCCCAATTGCCAAAGTGATGGAGACCCAGCAACATATGCGTTTATGAGCACTACCTGTTGAGCCTATATCCTTGATAAAGAGAATAATGTCACAAATGCTTTTGGTTTTTTTTTTTTTACTGTCACCCAGGCTAGAGTGCAATGGCGGGATCTCGGCTCACTGCAACTTCTGCCTCCTGGGTTCAAGCAAGTGTCCTGCCTTAGCCTCTGGGCGCATGTGCCACTGTGCCCCGCTAATTTTTTGTGTTTTTAGTAGAGATGGCGTTTCACCATGTCACCCAGGCTGGTCTCAAACTCCTGAGCTCTGGCAATCCACCTGCCTCAGCTTCCCAAAGTGCTGGGATTACAGGCATGAGCCACCGTGCCCGGCCCACAAATGATTTTAAATAATTTGTCAACTGAGATCCATGATATAAAACTCAGTTCGATTTATTTACCTCATTCTCAAATTGGTTATACACCTTACCTACTCATTGGAGTTATGTTTTGCTGATAGGCATGATAACTGTAGTTAGCTTCTGCTTTTGATGCTGTTGTGCGTACTGTGGATGTGACTTGTACACACAAGCCAATGCTATACAGTATAGGCCCATACAATTCTTTCCCTCATACCCCACTCAGAGACTCTGGTTCAAGATTGGCAGAAAAATTGTAAGAGTTGAGGGACGGGATGGATTGTAGTGTGATGTGTCCCCCATCAGGTTACTTAAGGGTGTATGTCTGCTGCCTGAACCCGAAGACTGGGCAGTGAGTCAAGGTCATGGTGTGCAGCTGAGAAGCAGGTGTCTCTGAGAACCCAAACATCCCAGGGCACAGCTGGGAACATACCAAGGAAAACAGTCTCATCACACACATGGAAGGCAAAGAGCCAGAAAATTAGCTGAGAAGCAGCTTAGAACTGGATGGTGGTGTAGATCTCTAGAGCTGTCCTGCCACTGCCCAGGAGCGTCCTGTATATCGGTCCTAATAAACTCATCTACTTATCAAGCTGGACTTGTGAGAGTCATTCTCTGGTATCTTGACTCCTTCCTAGTTTAGGGAAGGGACATTACAATCCCAGGTTTTTCTTATAACATTGCTCCTGGTGACCACCTCACTATGAGACAGCTGGATCCAGCCTACTTGACTAGCCCCACTGACCCCCTGGACTATGCAGTTATGCCATAGTGACCACGTTACAGCCACAGCATGACTCCCTGGAACTGCGTCTGCTTACTTTAAACTCACCAAGTAGAACTCCCTGTGGGAAATGTGCCTGGGTAATGCCCTGGACCCCAGCAAAGGCTTCAGCCCACGCACCCTCTCTCTGTGTCTCTTGCTCTTGTTCTCCACCTGCAGTCTGAGTGTGCAAGTCCCAGACAGCTTTCCTCTTCCTGTTGGCCCTGTGAGGCATGCTGCCTTCCTCTCTGAGAGAAGTAATAAAAACTACTTCTGTTACCTGTGTGTTCTTGCAAAAGATAATAAAATAATAAGAGTGGGAAAAATCCTACCTCTGTTATTTCAAGTGTTTTCTTGTGCTGTCTCCTCTGTCTCCCCTGACCGGCACACTTGACCCAACTCTCCTCCCGGTCAGGGCTCTCCTAGAAGGAGTAACTAACTGCACACAGGTCACCTAAGAGCCAACAGGGCATCTACTGAAATAAACATGTTTCCTGTGAGGGGGACCCTGGTCACAAGTTAGACACATAGGCAGGAGGCATCCTTCGGGATGAGGCAGCATCCTCAGAAAGGCACATTGTCCACAACCAGCCCCGCTTCCCCTGGTCCCGCTGGGGCAGGGCGAGGGTTGCCACTCTCTTGGGAGAAATCTCAAGACAAAACTGGAGGAAAATACAAGGGCCTCAGATAAAATTAGTTTAGCCAGTTTTAAAGATATTGACATTTTCTTTTTCTTTTTTTTTTTTAAAGATGGGGTCTCAGCCGGGCATGGTAGCTTCCGCCTGTAATCCCAGCACTTTGGGAGGTCGAGGCGGGTGGATCACCTGAGATCAGGAGTTCAAGACCAGCCTGGCCAATATGGTGAAACCCCCTCCTACTAAAAATACAAAAAATTAGCCAGGCATTGTGGCACATGCTTGTAATCCCAGCTGCTCAGGAGGCTGAGGCAGGAGAATTGCTTGAACTCAGGAGGTGGAGGTTGCAGTGAGCCAAGATCGCAATGCACTTCAGCCTAGGTGACAAGAGTGAAACTCTGTCTCAAAAAAAAAAAAGACGGAGGTTTCGCCGTGTTGCCCAGGCTGGTCTAGAACTTCTCAGCTCAAATGATCCACCCACCTTGGCTTCCCAAAATGCTAGGATTAGAAGCTCGAACCCCCCTGCCTGGCCGATATTGGCATTTTCCTATGGTGATGTGAGAAGAGAAAAATCTGTGTTGCCACCATTTATTATTCCTTTTTTTTTTTTTTTTTTTTTTTTGTTTTGCAAAAAAGTATTTAAAGTTGCTAGAAAGGTAATAAAAAATAATAAAAACTGTCTACATGGTATAAATCCCCTTGGACATTAAATTCTTGTTGATATTACTTGTATGCTGAGTACCCTAAAAGTGTGAAGTAAAAACATAAAAAAGTGTTTTCTCCAATACTTGTCTCTCAAATAAGAGATATTAAATCATATTTCCCACTGGGGAGTGGCATCCTGAATGCCACTCTGGCCGTACTCCATACCTTAGCCTCCAGGGTCGGATATCAGAACACTCCTTCTAGTATGTAAAGTTCACACCCTGTTTTTTGGTTTTCATTTTTTATTTTTAAACTTCAAAGCAATTTTTCTTTCCTCCTCTAGGGCAGACCAGAACAGTGGGTGATTTGCCTCCTTCCATTCTCTTGGGAAAGTGAAAAGTGGAGAAGAGAATGTTTAAATTGTTGCCTGCTGGGGACACATTGCACTCCTCAATTTGGGTGGTAGCAACCGCTGTTGGAATTCGTTATCTGTGGGTCCAGTAAGGTTGTATGATGTTCTGATGTCCCACGGTGAGGAATTATTCTCTGTAATTCTCTTGGGCTTTGCAGTCCTTGAACAGCTTTGTTCTTCTCTTCTGGGGTCATCATGCCGAGTTCTCTGATGTATAAGGTGGTCCAGGCAAGTCTGTAGCTGCAGTGTCTACTTTTTGAGGCCAAAACCTTAAGCCATCAGACACTGGGGGATCTATTCCATATCTCCTAGGAGGCTGACTGGCATTTCTTCACCACATTGTCTCTCTTTACTCTTCTTTTCCACTGCTACAGTACCCAGGAAAACTTCTCCAAGTCCGTGGTAAGCAGACATCCACCCAGAGTCAAAATGCTGGTCTCCTCTTCTAGCGTAGGCCTCCAGTCCTCACAAGGGACTCCCTGAGGTCCTCCTCCCTGGTCAAAGGGAGGGAAGCTCCCTTTGAGGGAAGAGTAAGAACGGTTTCTTCAGTCACCTCTGGTCCCTGGGTCTGGTCTCTCTTTCTGTGGATGAGGGTAGCAGGAGGGGATTCTGGGAGGGGGTGCTTGGTGGTGGGAACCATTCTCTTATCATCTCCGTGAGAAAAGTGAGACAGGGCTGGCCTAGGCAGCGATCTGAACTTAGAATGTGAGACCTTAGCAGCAATTCCAGAGCAATGGCAACACGCATTCTTATTAAACGAGTTAGCTTCACAGTGATGGCTTATTTCATATCTGGGTTGCTAGAGCCTCCAGGTAACACAATAGAAGGAATGTGCTTAGACAGCCCAGAGCATCAGTCCACATTTTCAGTTAGAAAGCAATGAATGTATGTGAACCATGTTGCTACATCAACTCCTGTCTAGGACAAGGTGGTGCATAAATGAGTCCTTGTGTATCAATATTTTATTTTCATTCTGTACTCTTACATTGATGAAAAAGTGAAAAGTTTTTATGATGAATAGTAGCTGGATTCTTCCCTGTCAGTGCTAAGTGATCGAATAGAAACGAAGGTTCAAATAAACACAAATACTCCTACAGATAAGTATGATCATTTTCCTGACCTTTTAATGTTGTTTATGCCATATGCACATTCAAAAATTATCATTTCCTCTTTTATTTGCAGAACTGAAATTTTGTCTTTCAAAGGACTGGTGCATCATTTTGCTGCTGGAAGCTTGGAAAAGCTCTGACAGACTCAAGTCTCTGCTGTGCTTCTGTGGTGGAGCTTTGGACAGCCGTGGGGTTAAGGTTGTTGGATTCAGAGTTGCTATTCCTCCACTACATCGGGACAGGTGACAAAGTTTTAGTTGTCAAAAATAATTTGTCCAATAAGAAAGTGCTTTCCTCTATCTTAACCTCTTAATTCATTGTCTATCTCTGCCAGATATGTGTGTGAGTTAACCCAGACAGAAAATAAAACTTTGTGTATAAGTGATTCATTTTTAAAAACCACTTTTCTTAACATATGTAAAACCAAATTGTTTGAAAGTAACTTTTGCTTATTGGAAAGCCTAGTGTCTTAAAATCTCAGGCTTCTTAAAAAAAAAAAAAAAAGAACCTTTCATTTTAAAGTAGATTTACAGAAAATCTCCAGAAAAGAAAAGTGAAGACAGAACAGAAAGCCCTCATGTACTGCACATCCTGTTTCCCCTGTTATTAACATCTTACACGAGTGTGGTGCATCTGTTACAGTTCATTAACCAATATTGAGACATTCCTCCTAGCTGAAGTGCATGTGTTCGTCATTCAGGTTTCTGTAGTTTTTGGCTAATGATGCTTTTCTCTTCCAGGATCCCATCCAGGATCCCACATTCCATGTAGTCACTGCCTCCTTAGGCTCCTCCTGGCTGCGACAGATTTTCAGATTTCCCTTGTTTCTGATGATCTTGGCAGTTTTGAGGAACACTGGTCAGGTATTTTGTAGAATGTCCCTTGTTTGGGATTTGGCAAATGTCTTCTTTTGGTTAGACTGGGGTTACGTGTTTTCCGGAGGAAGATCACAGAGGGGAAGTGCCACTTTTATCAAATCATATCAAGGGTGCATATCAACATGACTTGTTAGTGTCAATGCTGACGTTGATCCACTGGCTGATGTAGTATGGGTCAGGCTTTTCCACAGTAAGGTTGCTGTCTTTATTCCCCTTTTCATTGTTGTATTCTTTGGAAGTAACTATGTATAGTCAACACTTAAAGGGTGGGGAGTCAGCTGGGCAAGGTAGCTCATGCCTGTAATCTTAGCATTTTGAGAGGTCAAAGCAGATGGATCGCTTCAGCCCGTGGAGGTTGAGGTTGCAGTGAGCCAAGATTGCGCCATTGTACTCCAGCCTGGGTAACAGAGTGAGACCCTGTCTCAACAAAAATTTAAAAATAAAAATAAAGAGTGGAAAGTTCTAGTTCACCTTACTGAGGGGAGAGTATCTACATAAGTTGTACAGACTTCTGCACAGGAGGTTTTCTATTCTCCTCCACTTTTAAATTCATTCAGTATTTATTTATATGATTCATGCATATTTATTTTTTATTTTGGGTTACCATCCAATACCACCTTGTTTGGGTTTTTTAAATTGTTCCAGCTTTGGTCATTGAGGAGCACAGTTGGCTCTTGTGTCATTTTGACAAACTCCCACTGTGTGTGTGTGTGTGTGTGTGTGTGTGTGTGTGTGTGTGTGTGTTTGAAGCACTTTCTGGCATTACAAGATAATTCTGCCCTTTTTTTTTTTTTTTTTTTTTGATAATCCTGTTTTATCTTTTTTAAAAAAAGTTCTGTCCTATGGATATCATTTGGATGTTTGTCCCCTCCAAATCTCATGTTGAAATTGTGATTGCCAATGTTGAAGATGGGGCATGGTGGGAGGTGATTGGATCATGGGGGTGGATCCCTCTTGAGTGGCTTTAGTGCCACCCTCTTGGTGATGAGTGAGATCAGATTAGATCTGGTTGTTTAAAAGAGCCTGGCACCTCCCTGCATCACTCTTACTATGTGATACGCTGGCTCCCCGTCAACTTCTGCCATGACTGTAAGCTTCTGGGGCCTCACTGGAAGCAGCTGTCAGCACCATGCTTCCTATAAAGCCTGAAGAACAGTGAGCCAATTCAACCTCTTTTCTTTGTATACTATGCAGCCTCAGGTATGTCTTTATAGCAATGCAAGAACGACCTAGTACACCTATCTTGAGTATTTCCTGCCTCAGCCCTAGAATCAGCCATTTCTTCAAGAAGCTCTGGTTCCTTCTACTGGTAAACAGTGTGAGTCCAAAAATATCTGAGACACGTCTCAATCAATTTAGAAAGTTTATTTTGCCAAACTTAAGGATGCACCAGTAAAACAGCCTCAGGAGGTCCTGATGACATATGCCCCAAGTGGTCAGGGTACAGCTTGCTTTTGTACATTTTAGGAGACACGAATTTGAAGAAGTCAAAGAGGGGTCTTGCTATGTTGCCCAGGCTGGTCCTGAACTCCTGGTCTCAACCCCTTGTCCCACCTCAGCTCCTGAGTAGCTGGGATCACAGGAGGAACTGCCTGTCAAGCCCTGCTGAATACTGAGTCTTTCCATCCCTTGCTCTCTGTGTTCCATACAAATGTTCTACTTAACTCTTCAGCAGACCTGATGGGTGCTAACTTGTTACCTCTCTAGGCTTAACTCATCTCATGAGTCTCACCCATTTCAGCACTTGTCTTTTCCATAGTAGAACTGAATATTTTCCAAAATACAGCATTATACATTAAATATCACACACACAGTACATAGGCAAAGAAACTGTGGTTAGAAGTCACGAGTGCAACAAAGTTTCCCGTTTTAGGGAATGGGAGCTCAAGTGATATTAAATAGATTGCTTGGGAACTGGAAAATATTGAAAATGTCAGATGTACTTCCAAATGAGGGTATGGTATTTGATCCAAAGGCTATATATTGGTTAATTTACTCTGAAGAACTGAAAGTTTATTCAGAATACTCTATTATTCTTTCAAAAGAAAGTGCAAAAGACTTCACAAGGCTGGAAGAGAAGGAGCTGAGACATGGCCTGTTGCTAAAGGGTCTGCAATATTTTACCCTCCTTTTTGTTTAAGAGAAGCAATCTCACAAGGGTGCAACTGTCTTCATTATCCTAAAGATATTCCTGTCAAGTGTTACAACCCTGTTTAGCATCTTCTTGACACTTGTGAGGTAAAAGATTCTAAATCTCTGTATGGTCAAAGTTATATGGAGCCGTGTGAAGACTGGTGAGTTCTGCCCTTGCTTGGTAGAAGTGGGGCAGTCAGAGCTGCTTTTTGGGAGGATGTCATCTTAGCACCAGGCCTGAAAGAGTCAGTAGAATTTCAACAAACTGAGAAGACAGAGAATGGTGTGCTAAAACAGCCAGCAGCCCAAGCATAGCAAGGAAAGTGCACAGTGCGTTTGGAGAAAATGATTTGTCTGCTGCATAAAACGGAATGGAAGCAATGAAGTCCAGTGCTCTGTGCAGTTAGAAGCCCAGCCTGTAAGATGGGCTCAGACAGAAGCAGAGGGTCGTAGGTAGCTTTCCAGGAGTTACCATCAGACTTTATAACAGCACTAAGCAGGTGCTGTTATACAGCTGTGTGGAGCACATGAATATTATCCTCTAAGGTGTGTTGCTAGCACCTTTGGGGAAGAAAAACTCCATAGCTCGATATGGGTAGTGAAAGTTATAAACCCAGAACAAAAGCTGTTCAGATTTGCTGACTGGCAGGGAAGTTCTGGGAGCTTCACATATTCTACACTTTTGTGTATTTCTTCACAACAGTCCCATGTGGTTTTTGTTGTTGTTGTTGTCTTTTTGTTTTTGTTTTTGTTTTTTTGAGCGGAGTCTCATTCTGTCTCCCAGGCTGGAGTGCGGTGGCAAGATCTTGGCTCACTGCAAACTCCGCTTCCCGGGTTCAAGCAGTTCTCTACCTCAGCCTCCCTAGTAGCTGGGATTACAGGCAGCCACCATCATGCCCAGATAATTTTTGTACTTTTAGTGGAGATGGGATTTCACCATCTTAGCCAGGCTGATCTTGAACTCCTGATCTCGTGATCCACCCACCTCAGCCTCCCAAAGTGTTGGGATTACAGGCATGAGCCACCCAGCCTCCCATATCTTATATCACATTCTTCTTTCCATTTTACAGGTGATGAAACTGAGACTCAGAGAGGAAAGCTCATTGGCCCAAAGTAACATAGCAAATAGGTGGTGGAGGCTGGATTCTATGTGCACACCCTTAACTGAATGCTTTCATCCTCATTTTTTTTTCTGTTTCAAAGTGAGCTACAAACATTCACATTTTGAAAACTGATGGTGCCACATAAATGAATGTTGAATAAGTCAATGACTGAATACATAGATGGCTGAATGCAAGAGGCTCCCACTGAAAAGGAACATCCTTTTGGCTCTGAAAGTCTGGAAACACACAGAAGAAAAAAAGGAGAGAGAGGCTCTGTATTTTCACATTTCTGGAAGGCTGCAGAAAAAGGAGTGAATACAAATTTGTAAAAATATGTATAAAATCTAGCCAAGTGCTGTAATCTCAGCTACTTGGAGGCTGAGGTGAGAGGATCGTTTGATCCCAGGAGTTTGAGGCTGCAGTGAGCTACTATCACACCACTGCACTCCAGCCTGGGTGACAAAATGAGACCTCATCTCTTAAAAAAAAAAAAAAAGTATAAAACCCAATGAAAGATTACCACGGCCAGGTGTAGTGGCTCACACCTGTAATCCCAGCACTTTGGGAGGCCAAGCGGGTGGATCACCTGAGGTCAAGAGTTCGAGACCAGCCTGACCAACGTAAAGAAATCCCATTTCTACAAAAAATACAAAATTAGCTGGGCATGGTAGCACATGCCTGTAATCCCAGCTACTCGGGAGGCTGAGGCAGGAGAATTGCTTGAACCCAGGAGGTGGAGGTTGTGGTGAGCCAAGATGGCATTATTGCACTCTACTGGGCAACAAGAGTGAAATTCTGTCTCAAAAAAAAAAGGAAAAAAAAAAAAGAAAGAAAAGAAAAAAAAAGAAAGGTTATCAATATGAACTTGCCAATGTTAATTTTAATTTTAATTTGTTTTTAGACAGAGTCTCACTCTGTTGCCCAGGCTGGAGTGCAGTGGTGTGATCAAAGCTCACAGCTGCCTCAAAGTCCCGGGCTTAAGCAATCCTCCCACCTCGTCCTTTCAGGTACCTGAAACTATAGGCATGAGCCACCAGGCCTGGCTAATTTTTAATTTTTTGTAGAGACAGGGGCTCACTATGTTGCCCAGGCTTGTCTAGAACTCCTGGACTTAAGTGATCCTCCCACATTCGGCCTCCCAAGCACTAAATTATAGGTGTGAGCCATTGTGACTTGCCATTTTCTTTTTCTTTTTCTTTTTTTTGTTTTAGTTACAAAAGGGATGTAAATGTGTGTGATCAGAGCTCAGAGCAACTTTCAAAGGCCTTTGACCATTACTTTTGATTTTTGTTATCCAGTGTGGAGCTTTCTCTAGAAATCTGTTTCTAGTGACCTACACAGTTTAAAGTTGTGAATTTCTTTTTCCGTCCTGCAGAGTCTTGTGCCTTTGGGTACGTGATGATGAGGAAGAGCTAGCTGCAAGCCCCATTCCTCAGCAGTACTATTCAGTTCCTATTCATGACAGAATGACACTGAAAGTACAGTGGCTGCATTTGTTTTTTAAAATTTCCCAGCTCCTAGAACTGACAGTTGCTATATTAATTGCACAAAACTTTGCACTAAGACTAAGAAGATGACTGAATGGAAATTAATCCCACACTGTCAATTCAGTAGTCATGTGAACTCACATCTCAGAAACAGTAGGAAGATAATAGAAAGAATGTCTTTATAGTCATTGCCTTTCTCAGAGCCCTTTTCAATATTTGGTGAATTCTTTTCATATTAATTACTATTTTTTTTTCTTGTTTCAGTAAACCTACACACATACTAAATTTAACACGAAATTGCATTAATCATGTGTTCTAAAATTTTCTGCATCTTAGGATGGTTGGCTATCTTAAACATCTTGCTGGCCTCCGGAGAGACTGCCCCTCCCAGGGCTGGCCAGTTCTGGAGATAACAAATAACTCAGCCGGGAGCATGTGTTTTACGTGCAAACTACCCAATCCCAAGTCTACTCCCAGCCTCTCTCCTTTATCTAACTCTTACACACCACGCCAATATCCCCACTGCCTTAAATCCTCCCAGGGCTACCTACCAGACAACTAGAGATGACCCCTGTAGACGACAGCTGTTGGGAGAGGGAAAGAGACAGAGAGAGAGAGAGAGTGTGTAGTACTATGAAGCTGAACATACCCATATTTTAAAATTTGTGAGAATTTAGCTGTATTTTCAAAGAAAGGAAATGTGCAAAACAATGTAAATAAATTTAACCTGTAAAATTAGTATTTTTGAATAACCCAGTAAAGAAAAGATTATTAAAACATATTTGCACAGACCTTTAATGCTTTCCCAAGCCACTGTTGAAAAGTCAAAAGAGGCCGGGCGTGGTGGTTCATGCCTGTAATCCCAGGTGGGTGGATCACTTGAGGTCAGGAGTTTGAGACCAGCGGGGCCAACATGGTGAAACCCCATTTCTACTAAAAATACAAAAATTAGCCGGATGTGGTGGTGCACACCTGTAATCTTAGCTACTCTGGAGGCTGAGGCAGAAGAATTGCTTGAACTCAGGAGGCAGAGGTTGCAGTGAGCCAAGATTGTGCTATTGCACTCCAGCCTGGGTGACACAGCGAGACTCCATTTCAAAAAAAAAAAAAAACAAAAGTCAAAAGAAACTAAATGTTATTAGTAAAGGTCAAACCTGGAATAGAAAGTATAGATAAAGAAAAGTTGGTGTGTGTGTATGTGTGTGTGTGTGTTATTTTATAAAGGCTTACCTTCAAAGAACCTCAAATGAATAACTATATAACTCTCTCTGTATGCAACTATAACTTTCACTTGCAAAAGTATACCAGTTTGAACAGTAAATCACCCATTCACCTATGTAAACATCACATGATAAGTAATGTTTAGATAGGTGAATGCATAATTTTAGTACATGGAATTTTTAGAATCTTTTTAGCACATAATTAAATGAGCATGTATGGAAAGTATGTTGTTATAAAGAGTTTACCCTGAAGGACCCATAGTAAGTCCTCTAAACCAGTGCTTAATCTAATTAGTTCTTGTAGCTAATGACAAATCACATAGTTTTATAAATTACCAGTGGTCACCAAAAATTATTACTATCACCAAGCCTGTTTTCTTGATTTTACTTATAGGTTGATTTTAGTGCATTTGAGCTACAATCATATTTTATTATCTAGAAAATACCTTGAAGACATCTGTGGACCTACAGACTTCCAGGGCTACTTTCTGCATACAAAGGAGGCATGAACAGGCCTTTCTACTCAGAAGTGGACTAAGGTGAATCCATCCAACCAACATCTGTCATAGTTCTTTGTGTCCCAAACACCTCATGTATGTTGAAATTAGCTGATTTCATGATTCAGAATAGATCCGGTCTTCAACCTCAAAGTTGTCCAGTGCATCCCCAGTTCAACCTCAGAAGAACCTTTCAGAAGCCCACCAGCTCATGAAATATTCCTTCTGGGGGTCTCTGGTGGGCATAGAATAAGCCCCCCTTCCCCTCAGGGTCTGCCTGTCTGCCCCTTAACCTGTTCTCCTGCTCCTCTATTCCGGGTTCCCTCCACCTAAGGCAAACTGCCCGGGGCACCTGCCCAGCATGGAAAGTTTGGTCTTCAGGGTCTTGACTTTTTACCAGCATCTCTGAAGCCCCAAAGTCATATAAGAATTTATTTGACTGAAAATTATTTAAGAACTTTATGTGTTAATTTTCCTTATAAAGTGAAAGTTGATCACTTTCTTTTCCCATATTTCCTTTGCCCAGACACAACTTACTGTTACTCTGTTTTCAATATCGAAGCAGGAAATGGAATTCACTGTGAGCCTGCCCCAGTGCTATTCAGACTCATTCTATTCAGGGAGCAACTTCACTCCATAATTTGTGTAGATACAGTTACTTACCCACCCTGTTTCTAGTGCATAACTCCCCACACACACCCACAGACTTCTTCCCCTAGCGAACTACTCAGTGGTGTGTCTCCCTTTACCAGTCAAGTGCACAAAATCAGTGCATGCTGTGCTGGTCAATGTGGTGATCTTTTTCCCTCTTTTAACCTGGGGAAGAGAGTTTATGGCAGAAATCACAGCTTTAATCCACACATCTTTGTGTACCAACTTCAATGTTCTATAAGACAGAGAAGAGAATGGGTCCAGCGATTCCTCCTGAGCAGTCGTCACGGAAATCTCTTGCTCTCCTTTGGGAAGATGACTTTCACTCTTAGTGATGCATCAGTACTCACCATTATTACATGGACTGGTGAACGAGAACTTGTTATCTGCCAGCACTGTGCTGTGCTTCACTCAAGCTGGTTAATTCCTGCACTCTCCTGTATTACTGAATGATTTTTCTTTTCTTCTGAATGGCAGTTTTTAAACGTAGGACTACTGTTTCTTCATTTGAGTTTGGGAATTAGGTCTCAAATGAGGCAGCTTATGAAATCTGCTTTGGAGGTCAGGGGTCTTCTCTATAGTGGAAAACATCTACCTGACCCTTTTCAGGCCCCAAACTCCTCTCCAGGGTGTAGTGAATGCATGGCACTGGGCATCCCTCCTGTAAATGAAGGAGCTTAGATCTCTGGAGGAAACTTCTGGGCTAGTATGTGGCTACCACGAAAATGGCTACAAGTGGGAATAAAAGGGCTTTGATCACCTAGTCTTGAGTTCCAGGCAGTTTTTCTGGGCCATGCCACTGATCAAGCATGGTGACATCGAAGGAAGGTATTCTCCTTTTTTTCTTTTTTGAAAGTGTCTCGCTTTGTTGCCCAGGCTAGAGTACAGTGGTGCAATCATGGATCTTTGCAGCCTCCGCCTCCTGGGCTCAAGAGATCCTTCCACCTCAGCCTCCAGCATAGCTGGAACTGCAGTGCGCACCACCATACCTGGCTAATTTTTGTATTTTTTATAGAGATGGGGTTTCACCATGTTGTCCAGGCTGGTCTTGAACTCCTGGCCTCAAGTGATCCACCCGCCTTGGCCTCGCAAAGTTCTAGGATTACAAGGGTGAGCCACTGCTTCCAGTCTGGTATCTTCTTTTGTACTTTTTGGAAGAACTCAAAATGGATGAGTTGGCATAAAACTGCATCTGCTGCTCTAGTGCCAGTGAATAGGCCATGAAACCTGTGGCTCGGATGGAACTTTAGCTTTGTGACCTGCCGGGTATTCAGAAAACACCCACAGATAGCTTAGGGGTTCAAGACAGCAGTGGTGTGTGAACCACCATTGCTCAAGAGGAGCAGTTGATTTGATCTGATCTCTGCTGGCCCCCCAGGGCTTTCGTGCAGACATAGCTGGCAGCCAGATGGTGGCGCTGTGGACGCAGGCCCTTTCACTAGGGTACAGACAGCTGCGGTTGAAGAGTCTACCTACAGGGGAGCGTGGAGTTCTGCTCCCTCCGTGGGCAACAGGCAAGCCACACGGAGGGCCAACTCTTCAACAAATGTTGGTAACATTTGTGGTACTGAGGGTTGATTCTTAAAAACTATTAGGGGATTCTCTCTTGCTAGTGAAACACATGGGAAGCCGAGGAGCTACTGCACTTTGGACATTGACTTTAGTTTTAATCACAGACTGTTAAGGCTGGGACATATTTTTCTTTAACTTTTAGACTCGGGGTGCATGTGCAGGTTTGTTGTATAGGAAAACTTGTGTCACAGGGTTTTGTTGTACACATTATTTCATCACCCAGGTACTAAGCCTAGTACCCAAGAGTTATTTTTTCTGCTCCTCCTTCCGATTCCCACCTTCCCCCCTCAAGAAGGACACAGTGTCTGTTGTTTCCCTCTTGGTGTCCATGTGTTCTCATTATTTAGCTCAGACTTATAAAGAGAACATGGGATATTTAGTTTTCTGTTCCCGTGTTAGTTTGCTGAAGATAATGGCCTCCAGCTCCATCCGAGCGATAATCACAATGTAGGAGATCTTTAAGGAACAAAGGTAAAAGTTTCTGGAGGTTGAATGACCAATTCCACTAAACTGTCACAGTTTGAAAATTGCCAGAATGCTCTCTCCTTCAGTATATGGTTTATGCCTCAAGTTTAAAGGAATGATTTCTATTGTCTATGAATACAGCTGGAAAAAAAAAAACAAAAACAAAACCCAGTCAAAATATCTCTCTCTTTTGGAATGGCAGTGTTCACAAACCCCTCTTGCCCAGCTACACAAAGTAGCTAGACGTCATGCACCTGGTCCCACAATGTTGAGACATGTAGTGATTTATGATCATAATAAATTAGTGTTTCCCAAAACTTACTCTGTGGAACCTTGAGTCAAATAACTTTGGGAACTTTGCCAACTGTATCTTCTTAATTATTGCGAAAGTTATCAGAATCAAAATGGAGTCATGAATATTAAGAAAACCCTGACAAATGGAGCCAGCAAAAACCGTAAAGAAGGGGTTCTGACACTTGTGTGCCTGATGATGAAAAAGACTATACAAAAACCACGACCTGGCACACAACCCATTGCAACTGTACAAAAAATATATACAAGAATATCTGCCCAGCAACTGCCTGTCCAAACTTGTACTGGTGTCACCCTTGTCATTGATCTTTGTAACCAAAGGTAAGTATTTCAAAAACAATTATGTAGTCCTCATTTTTTTCTTTAGAAATCTTTGCCTTTTACCTCCCTGACACATATATTAATAGTTTACTAGGGTATGTGTGTTCCCATTGCAATGTTCTATTCCCTAATAAATATCTTCTTTTAGGGAGCCTCTCTCTGTTATTTAGGTTGGAAATATTCATAACACTTGTGAGCCTATTTCATAGCTCCGAGAAGTTAGATGATAATGTGCCTTTACATCTTGTTTAGTCAATAATTTGCCCAAATTATTTGATCTTGAAATGTTACTTTAGCAAAATACCTATTAACAGTTTGTATAAATCTGTCTGATATAGTGTAGGAGTTATTTTTTTTTTTAATTCGTCACATCTCTTAATGCTGATATGAGAAAGTTTAAGCAGTACTTTTGGTGCCAAGATACTGAGCATAATGCTCTAAGACATTGAGAACACACAAGAAGCAACAAAGTTTGGGAATTGGTCATATGAATTGTTAGAAGATCAATAGACTGTGGAATTCTAGGCTGCTCTCTGGAATGTGACTAACCCACTGACCATCTGGTAGATTAGGAGGCAGATGAAACCAAGAATGTCCTCCTGGGCCTATGAAAATAAGGAACAAGCAGGGATTAGGAAAGATGAAAATGAGGTTCAGAAGGGGTGAGAAAGCAGGAAAGGCCAAGAGATAATAGACTGTAAACAACGAAGAAAATGTCAAAGTTAAAGATGGTGGAGGTGGAGAAGGTCTAAGCAGTAGATGGCTGTCCTCTATTTCTGGGTGGATGAAGTGGAGTGGAGAGGAAGATTCTTGGCAGCTGTGACAATATTCAAGGAGGGTCTTGAAGAATTAGCAGCAAGGAGATTAGGAAGCACAGGCTGAGGAGGTTCCTGAGACTCAAATGATAGGGCTTCTAAGGAATAATAATCGTGACCCAATTTATGCCACATCCCTCAGCCCTCACCACTGCAGTGCACCCCAGAAGCCCAGAAAGAGCCTGTCCAAGTGCAGGGCAGGCTGGAACTGCTGGGGAGCTAACTCCCCCAAAACTGTCCCCAGCAGCAGCCTGGCTTCCTTGCATCTCAGGTAGGGCAGCTGTGAGATGCGTGCTTTTTGCTTTTTTTAGAAAGAGTTTTCTTGAAGGAGGAAACCCCAGGTGCCCACATAGAATGTATGTGCTGCCCTTTAAGTCCTGCTTTCCATTCCAGCACCACTTCTTCCCTTCCCCAGCAGGTGTTTCCAGCCCCTTCCACAGAAGCTACTTGTGTTGTTGGTGGGCCAGTTCGAGTTCTTGACTTCGTGGCACAAAATAATTTGAGAGTGTGGTCAGCGCAGTAGCTCATGCCTGTAATTTTAGCACTTTGTGGGGCCAAGGCAGGAAGATTGCTTGAGCCTAGGAGTTCAAGACCAGCCTGAGTGAGATCCCATCTCTATAAAAATAAATAAAATAAAAAAGAAAGAAATAAAAAAAATGGAGAGTGAGTTCAAAGTGAAAGTAGGTAAAGAAGTTTATTGCAAAGTGAAAGTAACTCTGATAGCTGGATGCTTGAGAAGGAGACAGCGCCATCTGGTACTGAAGTACTACCCATTATGGGAGATGCGCATGATTATTCAAAGGGGTGGGAAGGGGTGTTGCTGTTGAGCACGTTGCAGATGGTTTCCCAAGCCTGCACGTGCGGTGGCCATACAGGCTAGTACATATATCGCATGTCTCATTAGCATATTAATTCTCCACCCAAGGGTGTATTTTTTACTATTATAATGAACACAGGTCAGCTCAAGGACACTAATGTTGGGTTTCTGCGTTCATGTGAATTTGTGAGTTTTCCCATCTGCCCTTTTACCTCCTGACTGCAGGATGTTCTAACCCTGAGCCCAGGATGTGGTTTGTGCACTGTCAGGCAGTTTGTTCTCTCCATCAATTTGGTAAGTTTGTTCCCACTTGAGGGAGGCTATGAGCATCCTATCTAACCTACCTCACATGCATTTGAATTCTTGTCTCAATCTGCATGTGGGGAACCCAGACTAATTCACAAACATCATGTCATTTGGCCATGAAGATTACTCTAAAGGATGGTAGAATAATATTATTTCCCCTTTTATTTTATTTTGTTATTATTATTTTTGAGATGGAGTCTCGCTCTGTTGCCCAGGCTGGAGTGCAGTGATGTCATCTTGGCTCACTGCAACCTCCACCTCCCAGGTTCAAGTAATTCTCATGCCTCAGCCTCCCAAGTAGCTGGGACTATAGGTATGCGCCACCACACCGAGCTAATTTTTGTATTTTTAGTAGAGATGAGGTCTTACGATGTTAGCCAGGCTTGTCTCGAACCCCTGACCTCAAGTGATCTGCCTGCCTCAGCCTCCCGAAGTGCCGGGATTACAGGCATGAGCCACAGTGCTAGGTCTGTTTCCCCTTTTAAAAAGGAAACAGGTTGTACATTTTTCAAAGCCACCCACGTAGTAAGAAGCTGAGCCGAGAGATGAACTAGCCTTCCGACTTCAAGCTCTGTGTTCTCATCCCTACAACCTGAATTCCTATATTCAAGATGTGTTACTGTTCACAAGGTTGGTAGATTATCATGAGGATGGAGAGAGGAAAGTATATATTGATGTGTGAATATTGATGTGAGAGTGTGATAGGGAAACAATACCCGAGATGAAACATAGGCATTATCAGTACAAGGGAAGAAGGTACAGTGCAATGGATTAACCTAAATCAAAGGTGATCCAGGACTATTGAAAACCATATGTTAACCAAGGTGATAAGTCAAAAGGGTAAAAGACCAAAGACAGAGATAAGTTTATTCATTGTAGAAAGTGGATTTGGGGCTGGGCACTCTGGCTCACACCTGTAATCCCAGCACTTTGGGAGGCCAAGGCGGGCGGATCACCTGAGGTCGGGAGTTTTCGAACAGCCTGACCAACACGGAGAAACGCTGTCTCTACTAAAAATACAAAAGTAGCCAGGTTGGTGGCGCATGCCTGTAATCCCAGCTACACCGAAGGCTGAGGCAGGAGAATCGCTTGAACCCGGGAGGTGAAGGTTGCAGTGAGCCGAGATGGCGCCATTGCACTCCTGCCTGGGCAACAAGAGCGAAACTCCGTCTCAGAAAAAAAAAAAAAAAAAAAAAAGTGGATTTGGTAGGAACTAAAGGATGTCCGAAAATATCTTTTTTTATTGGTACATAATAACCATACACATATATGGGGTGCATGTGATATTTTGATACATGCATGCAATGTGTAATGACCAAATCAGGACATTTAGAATATCCATCATCTCAAACATTTATCTTTTCTTTGTGTTGGGAACATTTCAAATCTTGTCATTTCAAAACGAAATAGTTATATTTCATATAACTATTTTGAAATATACAGTATCTTCTTGTTAACTCTAGTCACCCTGCTCTGCTGTGGAAACTTTTATTCCTTCTCTCTAACTGTATGTTTGCACACATTAACCGACCCTATACTGCCCACTCTCTCCTTCCCAGCCTCTGGTAACCATCATTCTACTCTCTACCTGCATAAGATCAACCAAAAATATCTTTGAAAGACCAGAGGGGGAGCAAAGTCTAGGAATCTTTTGAGGTGTGCTCATGGTCATTAATAAGACATTTCAATATTATAGGATTACACAAAGTAGAATTACAGGCCGGGCGTGATGGCTCACGCCTGTATTCCCAGCACTTTGGGAGACCAAGTCAGGCAGATCACCTGAGGTCAGGAGTTCAAGACCAGCCTGGCCAAGATGGTGAAACCCTGTCTCTACTAAAAATACGAAAGCTAGCTGAATGTAGTGGTGGGCACCTGTAATCCTAGCTACCTGGAAGGCTGAGGCAGAAGAATCGTTTAAACTCAGGAGGCAGAGGTTGCAGTGAGCCGAGATTGTGCCACTTCATTCCAGCCTGAGGGAAAGAGCGAAACTCCATCTCAAAAACAAAAAACAAACAACAACAACAACAACAAATGAAAGAAAATAGCGTTACAAAACTGAAGAGATTACAATACTGGTCTCGCCATTATTTTTACTACTCTACTCCCTCCTTTCCTAGCTGACACTAGCTCCCCATCCATGTCTATTCATCTAAAAATTCTGGTGTCCCCTGGCTGTTGGCCTCCAGGCTGCTGGATTTGGTCCCTTCTGTGACTACTTTACTGACAGCCACCAGCTTTCTAACTACACAGAAGTCCTGCTGTACTTCATAAGATGATGGAGTGAATGTATTCCTGTAGAACATTATTTGCACAGGTAACCATGGAAATAATACTTATTTTGTCTAAGTCACTTGAGGGCAAACCGTTTCCTTATCTGCACTCTCTTTTTCTTTCTAAAATGAGTTCAAGGTAATTTAGATCAGTGGGGACTAATGGGAAAGACCTTTGTGAAATCAGAAAGCTTGGATTTCTCTCTTCATTTTACCTCTGACTAATTGTGACACTGTAAGCAAGTTTCTTTAGAAGACCCTGTTGAGAAAGGCAAGAGCAGGGAGCCATCTGGTGTGTGAGGTCCCTGCTGGTTGAAAAAGTTATGGGGCTAAAAACAATCTCAACACGATGACTCTGTTGAAATTAGGCACCCAGGCAAATAAGCTGGCCATTGACCAACCCAGGAGACTGCCATTTTCCCACTGCCTTTACAAAGATCAGACAGGATAAACAGTCCTGGAAAAACCACAGCCCTGCTGAGGGGGTGAGTGTGGGGAGATGACAAGTATATGGTTTCAAAATGACCATAAAGTTGGAAGCATGATCTGTAATTCTCTTGATGCCTCTTGATGAGTTCGAATAGAGTGCACATGAGTGAAAAAATAAACTATGCAAATATAGAGAAGGGTGACTGGTTAGAAACATGATTGGCAATGCCAAATATGGCCAAGGATTTGAAAGATGTAGACAATTCCAGGTGAATTCTTATAATGTTATTCATACAGTGCTGTATTAATTCTAAATGTATGAGAAGTATGATAATTACTCATTTTCTTCATATTTTTATTATAAAAAGCTTCAAGCAGAGAAGTTGAATTTTACAGTGTATACCTATATATGCACAACCTAGATTTTATAATTAATATTTTACTA